GACTTAAATACTGAGTAAATTGGAGGGCCTCCTCCAAAACTAGCCAATCAATGGCTTGGAGTAGTTAAGGACGCCTAGAGATGAGATTATCATAGTATGCATGTCAACTAGAAGATAGAAATCTTTACTGAAGACATCGGACGATACCAATCTTTGTTTGCAAAGATCTTGTAACACATATGGACATATTTTTCATTGTCCATGATGACAACTTTGCCTCCCTTGTTGGAGGGTTTAATTGTTATCGTATGATTATTGGTCAGTGTATTTCATGCTAATTTTTTGCCTGAGCTTTAATTGCTTTTAATGGAGTCGGTTACCCTAAGCTCTCAGATGTCCCTACATACCAGTTTGAGAAAGGTAGCAACATTTTTATTGGAGCTAGCAGGAGGAAATTGATCTGACTTCTTTTTTAACCACTTGCCTTCCAGAGGATTTACCCCACCTTCCTGACTAGGCCATATTTTGCGTTACGGCACTGCATTACTTTAACTTACAATTTCACGGTCGTGCATCACTGCACCCAAATTAAATTTATGTCTTTTTTTCCCACGAATAGAGTTTTCTTTTGGTAGTATTTGATCACCTGTGCGTTTTTTATTTTTTGCACTATAAAAAAAAAAACTACAATTTTGAGAAAAAACTATATTTTTTTACTTTTTGCTATTAAACATGTCCAGTAAAATAATTTAAAAAATCTAATTTTGTCAAAAAGTTATGCCAAAATGTATTCTGCTACATGTAAGTTAATTGATTTACATGAAAGTTATAGCGTTTACAAATAGAGATACATATACTGGGATTTGTTTTTTTACTAGTAATGGTGCCAATCAGAGCGGGACTGCGGCGGGCATTCTTACACGGAGGGGAACTGACTTGGTGTCACTGACATCCCCAGTGACACCAATACAGTGATCAGTGCTAATAAAAAGCACTGACACCGTACTAATGGCACTGGGCAAGAAGGGGTTAACATGAGGGGCAATCAAAGGGTTAACTGTGTGCTGGATGTGTTTTACTATGAGGCCGTGTGTTTGTGCTTCACTGTAATCACACTGCTTAGGATGGCTGTACTGTGCACAGCCATCCAAAGAAGTGTGCAAGATCTGACAGGGAGGAGAACTGTTTTGTTTACAAACAGTTCTCCCCATCGGAGATGCTTGGCAATCACCAGGTGCTGGCGAGTAATCACTGGCTGAGAACCGGTGATTGACAGCTGCGGCTGCAAATGGTGGCGCGGGTAGGGCATGTGCACACCCCATACCCGGAAATGAAAAATCACGTATATCTGCTATAGGGCGGTCAGGAAGCGGTTAATACATCTTGTTGTAAGCAAGTCATTAGACTGTATGTTACTAATTGGATGCAATATTGGTATGATTTTATAGACCCATGGGTCTGTTTTATGCAAACAAAACATGTTTTAAATAAAGACTGACATTTGTCTTTTAGACAGTACACTTTTTTTATTCTGCCTTTAAAGCCCTGGGGAGGTTACTTTTCTAGTTTGTGTAATTACATTTTGGATGTTGGCAGGACATTACATGCAATTATATCACTCGACCCAGTATTACTTGCAATTGAGCTTTGGTAACTTGAGTTGTGGGCCTGAAGGTCTAATTCATCAGGGAGCACTGAACCTTTACAGAGAGGCCACTGCTTCCACAAAAAGTGCAGAGGACAAATATCTCTACTAAGACCATATATTAAAAAAAAAAATATATATATATATATATATATATATATATATATTAACTATACAATTTTAAACATCTTTTGTCTTAAGGTATCAGGAATGTATTTAGCTTATTAAAACTGAAAATTCCATTGAAATGTACTTTTCTATTATTTCCATTGTAATACCTTAGCCCTATTTTAGACCATAACTTAATCCCTTCCTGTAGCCACACCCGGCTCTATAATAGCTTCTAAATGCCAGGAAGCAAAGGTGGACATTTGTGTCATGAGACCAGTGTTATTGGCTGTTACAGCGGTCACATGATCAGAAAGATTCCAATCACTAGCATGCTTCAGGAGCTTTCTGGTCCCCACTGGTGTTTACATTGGGCTGCATTTATGCGGCCTCTCGGCATTAAAGCCCATCCTGTGAGAAGCTGTATATATGAGCCATTTTGGTGGGAACAGGTTAATCATTTTAAATCCTCCATGCAGGACTGGGAGATGGGGAGGGGGCAGAAGGGGAATTAGGTGAATGTGGGAGGAGCACTCTGACAAGCTAATTGGCAGCAGCATTTCACTTTATTGACAATCAACATAATTGGCAGCAGCATATCACTTTACTAGCAGCACTCTATGCACTATTCTTTTGCACACAGCTAGTATGGTGCCAGATCACCCTGCATGGCATGCCCTCTCCTTATCCCCTGCTCCATTCCAGAGATACTGTGTGCCTGGATTTTCCCAATTCCCCCTCTTTCTACTCATCCATCCTCAGATGTCACAAGGATTGCAGTGTAAAAGAAAGATACAGTGAACCGATAAATGGCTGATCATTGTTTTTATGTAAAGCAAAATTCTTAAAGCATAATAGCTGAAGTCAATGTATGAAAAGTGTGCTAGCAGTGAAATTAACCATTGCCTATAGCAACCAGACTATTTCCTACAGTCATGTATGCAGTTGCAAATAAAATGTGGATTCTGTTGTTCTTCTTATATTGGTATACTTTATTGTAAGACCAGATAATGACCATAGAAGTTCAATACATTGCCCCAGTGGGATGATAAACACACCCAAATTCCCAGACAGCACGATAAACTGGTCTTCTGGTTATCGCAGTCCAATGAAATTATTTAACACGCATATATTGTGAAATATTTATCATAATTGTAAATATCAAACAGTTTCTGACACTGTATGGTTATCTTTACTTACACAAGACTCCCAGTACTTTTAATTATTGTGCTAGATAAAGTTACAAGTTGATGTTTTTCACACCACTGGATAGGATGATTCTCTTAGGCAAGGCAATAAATGTTCCAATACTCCCAAGAAGTTCATCTAAGCATTGCAATAAAAGAAATAAGGATTGCACCACTCTGGTATACCAGCAGGAAGTACAAATAGTTGAATATAGCTAAAAGAAGAAAGAAAGTGGCCTCAAGGTAAATTGAGACACAGCTATGTATCAAACCAGGGGTGGACTGACCATTTGGAAACTCGGGCACTGCCCGAGGGCCCAGGGTCAGTAGGGGGCCCCATGAGATGCCCCTGGTACCTTTTTCATAGGCTTTTTTGAGTTTGGAAAAGGACAGAGGGGCCCCATGATCCCCTATTTCCCGGGGGCCCCATGAGTTGTCAGTCCGCCCCTGTATCAAACATATTTATTACTGAGTTTTAAAAAGAGTACAAAGACACAAAATTACAAACAATACAACCAAACTATAAAAATCAAACTTACCGGAGTATCATAATGGAGTACCTATAGCAATGTAGTATATTACCTTTATGATACTCAGGGTTGGGATGAGGGGTTGGAGGGGTTAGGCAGCAAGGACAGCTGTCCTGGGTGCAGGGTGTTAATGTGTGTGTATGTGTGCGTGGCCTGGGGACATTGCAAGCTGTGCAATGATGGTAAACCAGCACACTGACAAGCTAGATAAGATATCCCAGGTCAGAGGAGGGTGGGAGCAGATTATCATCTTCACCTTGGGCACTGGATGACCTTCTCCTGGCACTGCATCCACTTGACATTCTGTTATACTGTACATTTTTACTTTGCCCCTTCCACCTTACATGTTATAGCTCTCTCCTCTCTGGGAGTGTTTAATTAATTTCTCTGCTGGCCCAGCCCATCCCATCCCCACCAACCTTCCTATCCCACACCAACCTTCCTTCTCTTAACCTGCCAACCCTTTACGTAGCTGTCTGAGGAGGAGTAAAAGGGGAATGCTATGTGTGACAGTGTTGTGCTTTGCACAGTGTTGGAAGGATTTGGTGTCACCTAGGGTCCTTATCAATACAGATTGAGGGGATCGGGATGTGTGTCTCATTAGAGAAAACTGGCCTTTTATTTTTCTTAAGGATTAGTAAATCCTGCTATGGGCTCTGGAACATGGAAGCTTTGCATTCTATTGGGCAGTATGAAGCTTCCAACCCTGGGTCCAAGTTTTGCAGGCAACCAGATTGTGCAGAAGTGTAAATCCCTTTTAGAGATGACTATTGTTTAGGGCTCCTCCACTGCAGCCAAACTTTTGCCTGAGCAGTGAGTGTATGACCAGACAATGGGAGAGTGTTATTTAGGCATTCATGGAGAAGTGATTTGACCAAGCCGTAGCTGAAGAGACAGTATTTGACTAGTCAGGAGACTGAACTTGCCATGAGGCTGAGAGGTATTAATAGTGTGTGTAACCAGACAGGAGCCGTTAGAGCACCATGTTGTACAATTGCCACCGGCCGAATGAGTGGGATTAATCAGTGAGTTTGTGTGGAAACAAGCTCAGAGACCACTCAGCTAAGAGGCTGGAAGATTTGTATTAGTGTTGCCATGGCTTTGAAAACCCCTGTGAGGGTAACTTTAGGTATGTGTTTCTGCTAAATAGTGGCAAAGGAACCCTTACATGAACAACGGCAAGTGGACTGTGTTCTTGGAATAGCTACACTTGAGTTTAGCACTCACAAGTGTCACTTAAGTGACAATAATAAATTTAATTATATAATATAATCAAACCAAAAACACTGAAATTTGAAATAGAGCGCCACGTTCACACATCACTGAGCAAAGTCGCAAAATCGTTTTCAGTGTCTGATGACGAATTTCCCACGAATCATTATCACTCAATTCTGCAAGTGGTTCTAATTTACTATCACTGTTCTCTAGCTGGTCTAAAACCGCTTTTGACCTAAAGGGACTATTTTTGGATACCATGGACATTTCTCAGTTTCCAGGCAGAAAGAACAGTTAAAATGCAGGCAGGGCACAGGACAAAGCACTAGGGACAAAATGTATGTGAAATGCTTTGATATAGTAATGTTTTACTATGTGATTTTAGTGAATTTCACTTTTACAACTTTCAAGTTTCCCGCCGTTCCATCCCCCATACGTTCCAATGTCGCAGGGAACAGAATCCAGAAGACAGATGCCGGCATCCGCCCGAGGACATTGCAGGGGACACTGCAGGAGGGACATCGCGGGAGCGCAGGACAAGGTAAGTGAAGAAGAGATCTCGGAGCAGCGCTGCAAGGTATTCCCGAGTGTAGCTCGGGGTTACCGCTTGTGGTGCTGAAACTTTACCCCGAGCTACACTCGGGAATACCACCAGGGAGGTTAAAACAATCTACTGAGCTGACCATAACTAGCTCTTGAAGGAGTCTATTCCACATTTTCACAGCCTTTACTGTGAAGAAGCCTTTCTGTATGTAAAGGTTAAATCTCTTTTCCTCCAGACATAAAGCATGCCCCCTTGTCCTCTGTAATGACCTGAAAGTAAATAACTCTACACCACATTTACTATATAGACCACTTATGTATTTATACTGTACATGTTAATCATTTCCCCCCTAATCTCTTCTCAAGAAAAAATACACTGTGTTCAGTAAATTTTTCCTCATAGCTGAGCTCCTACTTGTCTCTCATGCCTCTTATCAGTTTTGTTGCCCTTCTCTGAGCTTTCTCCAGTTCTCTGATATCCTTTTTTGTGAACTGGTGCACAAACTTGAACTGCATATTCCAGATGAGATCTTACTAAAGATTTTTACAGGGGTAGAATTATAACTCTGTCTCTCTCTACAGTCTATACCTATTTTAATACAATAAAATATTTTGTTAGCATAGGAAACTGCAGATTGGTATTGCACAGGGGCGGACTGACTATTTGGAAACTCGGGCACTGGCCAAGGGCCCGGTCAGTAGGGGGCCCCATGAGATGCCCCTGGTACCTTTTTCATAGGCTTTTTTGAGTTTGGGCAAGGACATAGGGGCACCATGATCCCCTATTGCCCGGGGGTCCCATGAGTTGTCAGTCCGCCCCTGGTATTGCATGTTATAATTTAACTATGATCTACCAGAACACTCAGATTCTTCTCCACCATTAACTCCCCCAGCTGTTCTCCTCCTGATATGCAATATGTATGATGCATGTATGTTTTTAGCCCCCAAGTGCATAACTTTACATTGATCAACATTAAACCTCGTTTGTCACATAGTTGTCCAATGAAATCATGCATTGAGGCGGCTTACAAGTTGGAGACATCCTGTAAGGACATACAGTAATTCCACTGCGTAGCTTGGTGTCATCTGCAAACACTATAATAGTACTTTTAATCCCAGGCCCTTATATCATTTATAAACATGTTAAAAAGTAAGGGTCCCAACACTGAACATTGCTGTACACCAGTAATAACCATAGACCATTCAGAGTATGAATCACTAATCGCTACTCTCTGATTTTGTGTTTTAGCCAGTTTTGTATCCATCTACAAACTGAAGTTTCTTAATTTACACATTGACACAGTTCCCCACATGTGGCTAAACTCTTTTTGGCAAAATCCAAGTATACTATGTCTATAGCCACTCCTTTGTCTAAGTTTATGCTTACTTCCTCATAAAAAGAAATAAGATTTGTTAGAGTCCGATTCTGACTGCGGACTTTTGTGAATCCATGCTGACTATTGCTTAACAAATTATTTTCTAGCAAAATTCTGTGTTATTTTATTAAACTCTCCTGACTATAGAAGGTAAACTAACCAGTCAGTAGTTACTTGTTAAAGACTTTGATCCCTATCGGAAATACATTGGCTTTATACCAATCCAGTGGTAATATGCCCATCATTAAAGAGTTTCTAAAATGTTGAGAAAAAAACAATGGCTTAGCTATAACAAATCTCATCACTTTGAGGACCCTTGGTGCAAGCCATCTGCTCCAGGTGCTTTAGTGACCTTTATGTTATCTAAATGTTTCTGGAACAAGTAAATTTTGAGCCATTGGGGACCATTTGGGTTAATACTTACTATCCCCATTAATGACTCAAGCTTCCCCAGTTTCTTTTGTATACACAGTTGTAGAAGTATTTAATACATTTACCTTCTCTATGTCCCCAATAACCAACTCAAAGCTATCAAGAAAAGGGTCTACGTGCGCAGACCTGACCTTTTTTTCTGCTAATATAGTTGAAGAATTTGGAGGGTTTGTCCAACTCTCTTTTGCAACCTGGTGTTTGTTTTCAATTTTTGCAGCCTGGATTACCTTTTTACATATTTTATTACATTATTTGTAACTTTTAATTGATGATAGTGTTCCTTCTTTTTTATAATTTTAAGTGTTCCTTTTTCATTATTTATAGCTATTTTAACTTTGGACATGAGCCACATAGGTTTTATTTTTCACCTTTTAAACTCATTGTCCATGGGAATATATTTTAAATTGTTTTTGAAGCATTCTCATTTCTGTTCTATGTTCTTTAATGGCAACATTCCCTCGTAGTATAAATATTGGAGAGCTGCTCCAGCCTTAGAGACTCTGTTCTTTTACAATTTAGTGACTTTATCTTTCCAGTATGTTTGTTCTTTACAGCTTGCATTAAATGAACTCCTGTTTTGGTCACTGCTTATATGACCATTACTAATAAGCTCCACATGGTTTGAAATTACCAGGTCCAGAAGATAATCATTTCTAGTTGGGGCCTTCATGAGCTGTACCATAAAATTGTCTTGTAATAGGTTTATAATTTTTTGCCTGTTTACTGTTCCAGCTGTGCCATTACTCCAATCAGTTTCAGGGTAGTTAAAATCCTCCACTATCATCACTGACCCAGCCCTCACAGCCCTTTCTATCTATACAAGGACCTGAGTCTCCACCTCCTCATTAACACCGAGTGACCTGAAAGAAATTCCAATAACTAACTTTGAAGTACACACAATCATATTCCATAATGCTTGAGCCTCATTGCACTCTTCATCAACAAGGTCCTCTTTCACATTCACTTTGAGATTACTTCTCACATAGAGACAGACACTGCCTTTTTTCATTTTTGCCCTGTCTCTCTAGAAGAGAGCATAAGCAGGAATATTAATAGCACAGTCAGGTTAAGAATGAAGCCGAGATTCAGCAAAACCAATTAAATCATAGTTCATTTTTGTGTCTTCCCTGAATTTGCTGTGGGTCATTAAAAATAAATATACAGTGGGGATCGAAAGTTTGGGCACCCCAGCTAAAAATTTGTATTAATGTGCATAAAGAAGCCAAGGAAAGATGGAAAAATCTCCAAAAGGCATCAAATTACAGATTAGACATTCTTATAATATGTCAACAAAAGTTAGATTTTATTTCCATCATTTACACTTTAAAAATAACAGAAAACAAAAAAAATGGCGTCTGCAAAAGTTTGGGCACCCTGCAGAATTTATAGCATGCACTGCCCCCTTTGCAAAGCTGAGACCTGCCAGTGTCATGGATTGTTCTCAATCATCGTCTGGGAAGACCAGGTGATGTCAAGCTCAAAGGTTTTAAATGCCCAGACTCATCTGACCTTGCCCCAAAAATCAGCACCATGGGTTCTTCTAAGCAGTTGTCTAGAAAACTGAAACTGAAAATAGTTGACGCTCACAAAGCTGGAGAAGGCTATAAGAAGATAGCAAAGCATTTTCAGATGTCAATATCCTCTGTTCGGAATGTAAATAAGAAATGGCAGTCATCAGGAACAGTGGAAGTTAAAGCAAGATCTGGAAGACCAAGAAAAATATCAGACATAACAGCTCGCAGGAGTGTGAGAAAAACAATTCAAAACCCACGTTTGACTGCTCGATCCCTCCAGAAAGATCTGGCAGACACTGGAGTTGTGGTACACTATTCCACTATAAAGAGATACTTGTACAAATATGGTCTTCATGGAAGAGTCATCAGAAGAAAACCTCTTCTACGTCCTCACCACAAAAATCATCATTTGAACTTTGCAAATGAACATATAGACAAGCCTGATGCATTTTGGAAACAAGTTCTGTGGAACGATGAGGTTAAAATTTAACTTTTTGTCCGGAATGAGCAAAGGTACGTTTGGAGAAGAAGGGGCACAGAATTTAATGAAAAGAACCTCTGTACAACTGTTAAGCATGGGGTTAGATCAATCATGCTTTGGGGTTGTGTTGCAGCCAGTGGCACAGGGAACATCTCACGAGTAGATGGAAAAATGGATTTAATAAAATTTCAGCAAATTTTGGATGGTAACTTGATGCCATCTGTGAAAAAGCTGAAGTTAAAGAGAGGATGGCTTCTACAAATGGATAATAATCCTAAAGCACACCTCAAAATCCACGGGTGATTACATCAAGAGGCGTAAACTGAAGGTTTTGCCATGGCCTCCACAATCTCCTGACCTCAACATAATTGAAAATCTATGGATAGACCTTAAAAGAGCAGTGCGTGACAGACAGCCCAGAAATCTCAAATAACTGGAAGACTTTTGTAAGGAAGAATGGGCAAAGATACCTCAAACAAGAATTGAAAGACTCTTGGCTGGCTACAAAAAGCGTTTACAAGCTGTGATACTTGCCAAAGGGGGCAGTACAAGATATTAACTCTGCAGGGTGCCCAAACTTTTGCAGACGCCATTTTTTTGTTTTCTGTTATTTTGAAAGTGTAAATGATGGAAATAAAATCTAACTTTTGTTGACATATTATAAGAATGTCTAATCTGTAATTTGATGCCTTTTGGAGATTTTTCCCATCTTTCCTTGGCTTCTTTATGCACATTAATACAAATTTTTAGCTGGGGTGCCCAAACTTTCGATCCCCACTGTATAAATAAAGAAACTAATCCAGTCGCCCCAGATGATTTTTTAAGAGTTTTGTTTCTTAGAAATTGCAGTAGGTTTATGTTGTGTGCACAACTTAAGGGCAAACAATGCATAACAACATTATTCTTTCTAAAATGTGGAATGGTAATGTTTTTGCACATTTCTATTTCATGAAAATACAGCAGAGATGAGTTTTAGTAACATATATGTCGCAATGCTTTGGTTAATGGTTTTGATTAATGTTATCGCTTACCTACATTATTAGAGTAACACAGTAAGTTAATGGAGTGTATGTGTCCTCAATTATTTTGTAATTAAACCACATTTGGCTAAAGCTTTTCAACTGCTGTGTCTGTCACTCAACATCATTTTTTAAGTTTATGATCAGTGGATAGTTTTGTTTGCTTCACAGTTCAGACACTTTTTGAAAGAAAAATTTCACCAGCCAGTCAAATGCTTTTTTTTTTCAACACAGGATGGAATGTTATTTAAAAATAACGATTGAAACAGCTAAACATAAACAATAATCTTTATTAGGCACACTTTTAATA